CCTTGTGTTTTAGTTGAGACTCTGGAGGATTTTTATCAGTTATACTCAAATTGAGGTTGCAGAAGCCAAATCAGGTAACAGGATGTTGCTGAGTTTTTTTCACATTGGTCATACAGCTGGTCAATTTGAGTGTGGTTCTTCCCATTGAAAAATTACAGCTCTAATTGAAGTAAGGTGTGGAGATCTTCATACAAAGAGTGAAGTGGTCAGCCCCAGGAGTGATGGCAGAGCTGAGTTCAGTACTTAGGGTCCAAAAGCAGAGTAGGAGGGAGAGTTAGGATTCTAGACAGGGCAATTTAACTTCGGAGACACCTCTGCCAGCTGGTACAAATTGGTTTGTCTAGAACAATGATATCAAATTCAGAACCACAGCCAGATACCTCTGTAAAGGAGGAATTCAGTCTTTTTGTAGATAGAGAATGCTGTTCCCTTAGAGAAGATAAAAGCATCACTTTTTCACACAAATCCAATATCTGTTGCACTTGCACGTGAAGAGGAAGGATGGTTCCAGCCTACTCAGGCCAGGTGGGATTTGGGGTTGCATTTTTTCATGTCCCAGGAATATGTACAAAGCATCAAGTTGTGAGATTTTCAAAGGAAAATACCCCAACATTTTGCATCTCTCTAGCTGGAATGAGACTGCCAGTCACCTGAGAGCTGAAGGTACATGGAGTCAGCCATTGTGGTGCACAGATAAAGTCACTCCTGCTGGGGTGAGATTGTGATTTATGGTAGCTAATTATTGACTTCAAACCAGAAACTTTTCCAAAGGAAAAGATGAGAATCCTAAGCCTTTCCCCTCCTAGCTTCACCGCTAGATGACCATGAGATGTTTCTGGCCCCATGATTGTTCCATTCCTGGATGCACAACAGTTACAAAGTCTTCTATAACTTCATGGTCTGTGCGCTGTCATAAGATTTGGAGTTCAAAAGCCTCAGCCTAAAATGACCCCTAATATTCTGACTTCACAGCTAGATAAATGCTGCAAGCACCGGACTATTTGGCAAGAAGAAGGCACCATCACCAATGTGAGTAATGAATGTTTGGAATATACCTAACTTCTTCAGGGACTTCTACGCTGGCTTTTGGATTTCCTACATCCCCAACAGTTTTAAGCAGAGATGCCCAGCTCAAGAGACGATATCTTTTGGGACATCCTCTGTGGTGCAAATACAGCCAGAGTTCTGTGAGTAAATTCCTGAACACTTTACTGAGCGCTGACCTAAAATTTGTGCATTGTAATATCAGAGGAAACCATTTCATTTCATCCAGTCACTTTTTCTATGGAGCCATACAGTTTGGTGTTTAGCTACAACTGATCAGCCAGAAAGGCATCTTGTTTTCATTTGAAAGATACAGAAGATGAATCCACCATTTCACTCAGTCATTTATGCTCCTGTTAAATTATTCCTCAGCTGACTTCGCCTGGCTTTCATTTGCAGGTGGTAACAGCACAGTCTCATGTAGTAGCTGCAGTTGCTTTACGGGAATAGTTTTTCAACCCAAACAGTTCTTAAAAACTACAAATATCCTTTTCTCTTTCTTTGGCTTCTCTGCAGGTCTGTAGCTTTACATGTACAATTTGTTTACTCCAGCACTCTTTGGAGCTGAATAGCACAGAAGCGCTATGTGTGAGTTAAACAGCTACTGGTGGAGTGGGGAGCTATTGTTTATTAATTGTTCTTCTGTATTTGTTATTATTTGATCTGTAACACATGATGAAAATGCATCTTTGATGGCATAGCTTGCCCTGATTTAGACGGATCAATCTGATGAACGAAAGGCAGCTTCATTTACTGTCCTTGACATAACTAACCATACATTAATGGGAACACTTCTTCCTAGCTAGACTTACTATTTGTTCAGAATCTTAATAGATGGGCTTTGTGCTTGTAAATTTCTAACACTTGTTACCCTGTATTTTAAGTCAAAGTGGATCTCTCTGCTGAGGATTGTCTGTCACATTTCTTTTTCTTATTTTTTCCCTTTATTTTTTATTTTACAAAAGAGAGAAGTGTTCTCAGTCACCTTCTGTGACTTAAAAGCTATTGAGTAGCACTTGTGTTTGAATGTCACATTATATGTACCATAGCTGATAAAGAAATGTCAGTTTCCCTCTGTTGCTGGTATCTCTTACCCTTAAAAAAAAAAAAAAAAGATGTTTTGGTTCAAAATATTTGGTGAAATATACTTAAAATGATGTCATGAATTTATTGGGGAAGACGAAATGGTGGTGAGGTTCTCCTTTCGTACTTGTTCAGTTTGGTGATTCCCTCTAAATTGGTGAACATCTGAGGATCCAGCATTAAGAAACACAGCTAGGCTGATATTACAACATAGCAAGTGCTAGAGTGAGTGAAGTTGAAGATCCTTTTGACCCAGTGCTTTAACTCACCTAGTAATGCCAGTAAAGTGTATGCTGTGTAAGGCAGGTAGGTTGGGAGGGCTTATCCTTGTCAATTTTCCTTCAGACCCATGTGGGTGTATCTACACACAGTGACCATTCACTGCTACTGAGCTTCTGGCAAACCATTTCCAGAGCTGGACATTGCATGGAGTTATAGCCCCCTCCCTAATCCTGACATTAGCAACCTGGATTTCACCTAATTCCTTCTTTCACTGCTTATGCTTTTTCCCTTCTGCAGGAGTCACCCAGTTTAATGGTGGATTACATGAAGAAGAAGGTGTTTTCCTTTGCACATTTAGAGTGGCCAAGCAAGCAAACAGGACATCTGTGAATGCCTTCTGTCATGTGCAGGGAGCATAGATCCATGGCCCAAAGTAAGAGCTGGTTTTCTAATGTTGGACCCCTCACTACTGCAAACATGGCTTTTCTCTGAACTGCTGTTCACTACATGAGGTTGAATTCTATTATTCTGTTTGTTTCATGTTTCAGAAAGCCACTGAAACAGGCCCCTTTCTCTATACCTGTTAGAATTAATCAGTATAGCTTCTTTCACGGCCCTGAGCCTTATTTTTTCCCCTGCGCCCCAAGTCAAGAAATATAGATATGTTCTGTCAGTGAGAGGAATGGAAAGAGCTGGCCCAGTTTTTCTAGGCATTCAAAGAGCAAAAGTCCCAAACAGGGCTACCGAGGCAAGATCTGTCCTCTGGGTCTAGGGCAGCTGGATTTATGTGCACTCCTGCCTCATCCTTTCCTATTCAGGAACTTCTGTCTTCCTGTAAGGAATGGGTAGTGCAGAGTGACTCATCCTGGCACTCTGCCACCTGGCAATGCTCCTTTTCTGAAGGAAAATCCCCCAGCTTTTGTAGGGCACTCCTGAGACCTAGCACAAAGGGGCCAGAATCTGGCCCAGGAACTATAACACACACAGCTTACTGAAACTGCTTAACACTATCCCACAGCTACAACACACCATTGTCTCTCCATCCTATCTTGTGGAAGCTCATGGTGATTTTTTCCATGCATCTTATCCAGCCGTACGTTGTTATCGAGTGCAGCTTCTGTTTGTTAGTTCCTTAGATAAAGGCCTCCCTAAGTCTGACCCACACTCTCCTATTGTGCCTCTTCCTATATTGCTGTATGTGGTGCATGTCTTCTTTCATGTCTCTTCCAAGAGTACCTCAGAGCATCCATCCATTATCTGGTGATAGGACGTGCTCATTGGGAATATTCTTTTTTCCAGAAATAAAAATGTATGGCATACATAGTATTTAGCAACACTGTACAGAACTTTGCTTTGTATCATAAAGAGATTAGTGTCTCTTAATTAGTGCAGTCCAATTTCCAGCTGCATCCATAGGCTGCATTTTTATTGACTGAAAGATGTGTATAGATGTGTCCTATTCTCTTCTATGTTTTACATCTGGATTCTACTGTTTTCCAGCCTGATCCATGTGAACTTTGCTGGTGTGTGTGTGCATTCCTTGGAACAGCTAACAAACTATTTCCAGGGAAGGTTTGGTCCATCTATGGAGATATCACACACATGAGAAACCCCAAGGTAAGAAGTGAGTATGTGTATATGCATGGGGAAGAATGTTTCTTGAATTACTGTCAGGTTTAATAGTACTTAGGGTTAGTCCTGTGTATTTTTACTTTCTTTAGCAACAAAAGTTTAACTATAGACACATCAATATCGCTGAAGAAAGGACTGCTTTCAGTTTCAGGATTTATTGTAAAATAGTTTTCTTTTCATGCTTTGTTTCCCCATGTCTTCGTATTTCTAATACCATGAAACTGATCTATGCATAGGGATGAAGTCCTGCTTGGCTTGGCATTGAAGATCTCAGGGTTTTAGCTTTCTGAAAGTTAGTAAGAGGTACAAGTTGGGATATCTAGACTGAAGTCACATGGCCTAAACAAGCTCCATCTGGAATGCAAGGCAACAACATCTGTTTAGCAACACAGGTCGACATGAGCACACAAGCCTGGTGTGTGCCCCCTGCCCTGTTTTTTCAGTCAATAACTAGGTAAAAATCAATGGAGGAGGGGTAAGGAAAATAATGGGCTATTTTTTAAATCTAAAGTTTAAAGAACATTAGAAAAAAATAAAAACACCAAGGCAGAAATAATAACAATAAAAATAGTCATTTTAGACATATCTCATGCTGATTTGTCTGATTTTGGTAACATTATTATAAGTACAATGAAAACAGATTTCCACTGGAAACTGAAAGTTGACACAAGTTGTCTTGCTTCTCATATTTATATATTATGTATATATTGTATTTTATATAATATAAATTATATATACCTATTACACATATTTTATATATATATATATCTATATATAATGTTGCATATTTCAAGGCCAGGTTGGACAGGACAACATGTTCTAGTGTGAGGTGTCCCTGCTCATGGTAGGTATGTTGGAACTGGATGACCTTAAGGTCCTTTCCAACCCAAACCAGTCTGTGATTCTATGATCCCAAACATAATCTAGTCCTGCAAACTGCCTTCCTCTCTTTACCTGATATATGATTCACACATTGTAAAGAATGAAAGTAGGGGCTACTGTTAAGGTCTTTCTTTTGAGGCTTTTCTCAGTGTCTGAGCTGATGTGGCTCTTGAAAGCCTTTAACTTAGGGGTCAGTCAGCAAGAACTGACAGGGCTTGGTGTGTAAAAGAAGCTAGTCATGGTATCTGTCATCTTCACGAGTAAGTTGTAGGTTTTGTACAGGTTGGGATCAAGCAATCTCAATAGCTTTGACTAAAATGTTAGAGGCAGAAAACTGGACCTAAGTGCATGCATGGAAAAACTGCCCACACCTCCATGCTTGTCAGTGAATTAATTTGGTTCAGAATGGGGATAAGAGATCAGAAACAGGATGAAAAGTGAGAGCTAGGCTGCCTTGGATTATCTGATGCTTGGGATTTAAGAAAGTATATGGTCTGATGACAATCTACAGCCACATACTTAGGCTTCTCAGCCGGTAGGTTTTGCATGAAGAAAGTATTTGCAGAGATGTTTGTAAGAAAAAGAGCAGTTGGGCTGCCTGGGCTTCTCTTTAGATTTTCATTTCAGAAGACAAGCCCAAGCAGTGAACTCTGAAGTGTTCAAATTCTGGTGTAGACAAGAAGTGAGGAGATGTGGGCAGCACCTCAAATCTCACAGCATGTTTATGGTCCCTTTGTTGCGCGCAGCCTGTCACATGTAATGACTGAAGAAGTTCTGCTTCTCTCTCTGTTTTTATCTCTAATTTACCTGGCAATATGACTATGCAGCCATCTGGGTTCTTGTGCTCTGTGGGCTTTATAAACCTCATAAACACTACAGGTTCACACTTGGGATGTATATGCACAAGGGCCCAGCCAACTAAGCAGTACAAGTAAGTAGTGTGTGGACACCAGTTTATAAGCCTTTTAGAAGTTTTGATGGTGTGTTCTTTATTCTGTCTGTCCGTCCTTGTGAGCACACAACTGCACGATAGATTAATCGAGTTAAATATATCCCAAAGTTGTTTGAAACAATGCCTATTTAATTTTTTCAAGAGGCTGCACAGAAGTATAGCATTGTACCACAAATAAAAGTGTTGCCACAATGCCTGTAAATCAGAGCTTTAAACTATGTTTCAATTATGCTTCTATTATCCAGCTGGTGTTTAAACATGTTTATTATTCAAATCAGTAGAGAATGTACTGCTGTTGTGTAAACAACTGTCAATTGCTGAAACAATGATTACAAGGCACCATCTCTTTCAGGTGTACTTAGAGGTACTTATACCTCAACCACTTGTATTTAAATAACATGCAAACACAATGCTTGAGTGACTACTTTCACTCCTGTTTCCAATACCTCGTGCCAATTCTATTACATTAAGAGGGAAATCTATTACATTTTTCATTTATACACATCTGTACTCTGTTTTTAACCATTGTATCATTAAGGCTTGAGTTAATATAATAGATATGCCAAGAGATGCAGTACATATTGAGAAATCCTGTTCAAAATAAAAGCCAATTTCTCTGCATTATTTTAGGGCATTTGAAAGCTTTTGTGAAAACAATAGTAAGAAAATTATTTTCTAAAGAGGAAGCCTGAGAAAGAAAAGATTTAGTCGTGGAACTCTGCTATCCCCCAGCCTCTCTATTTGTTTTGATGGAAACTGAGTACATTACAAGTTGATTGCTTCTTTTTTTTCCAGGTAGGCATTAACAAAATACAGCGCTGATGGTATTGAACTGTCTGTCTTGTACATGTGACAGTATTCAGCATCTTCACACGCACTTACTGCTGGGTAAAGTGTTTGCTGAGTGAGCATTAGAGGCAACTTTTTCCTGGTTTGTCACAAACTGGGAGGGAGAATGTTTTAAAAAGCTGCGTTTGTTATAAAAACTTCCATGAGGATCCTCAAAAGAAGCAACTGGAGGAAAGAGTTTCTGCTAATCTCCATGTTCTCATGAAGCAAAGATGCTGCCACAGTCTTTGTCTGTCCTCAATATTCTTAGAGGGGAAAACCTGGAAAATAAGAGCAGATATTGAAAAGTACAAAACCAAAACCCCAACGTGAGCCTTCTGGTGAATGACACAGGCACTGCTTCCCACTCTTCTCCTCCCCCCCACTTTTTTTATCCCTGTCTTTTAAGTTAAATGCTTAAATATAAAGCTAATGGAAGAAACAAACACTGCCACGAGGATAAGCTGTTGTAGTGTGCTGATAAAATATGACATTCTTTTTCAGAACTTAATAGAGATGCTTTGACTGTTGTTCTGCAGTCAACAAGGCTGGTCTAATTGGTGGCCATGGCAACAAAATCAGGTCATACAGAGGTTCATACCGAGATCAAGCATATGTAGATCTTCTTGTTCAAATATACATAAAGATAAGAACCTTTAGTGAGAGTCCACAGTGAAAGGCTGAAGATGGATGTTCCCACGCACATCTAATATTACTTAGAAATATTTACCTGTTTGTAACATAACGATGTTTTCCAGAACAGAAATAGAAAAATCCTTCATCCCCATTGGAAAACAATGATTTTTTTTTAAAGTCAAAGTAGGGTGTATGCATGCACATTGCTTCATAGCTGTTTGTAATTTAATCCCTGGGGTTTTCAGTCAGTCTGACTTATATTTTAGATGTAATTAAGTAATCGGTGGTGTACACTGTAAAACGAATGTTTAGGCTGCTTAAGGTTGAATTTTCACAGCCATAGCAGCTGCGCAGTTATGGCTCCTGCCCCCACCTCCCTTAGTACAGTCATCCATTTACAATTATTACTTGAGTTATTTACATAGTCATGATATTTCATAGAAATGAAATAGCAGCTACCTGGTAACGGCTGCAGCAAATATGCAGTAGCTCACATGATTGCATCTCTCTTATTTCCTGCTAAGCGTGCGTGTGAGGTGTACACGATGGCTGGTTAGCCCCCACGTAACCTAAGCCTTGCTCAGGGAAATACTGCCTCATATTGCTGCAAAGCAGAGGCTTTAACAAAGCTCCTCCTTCTGACCAAGTGCATATAACCACAGTAGAAACTGGAGAGGGCCTCTACAGCCTTTCAGTCTCTCCATCTGTGTCTACAAGCCAGGCTTGTAAATCACGGTCATCATAATCTTATGATACTCAGTAGCTACTAAAAATGTATTAATAGTCTTGGGCACATGCATCTGGGACAAAGCCTACACCCAAAGCAATGTCTAACAAAAGTTCCCACTGAAAATATTCCTGCTTTGGGTTCCGAATCCAGTTGTCCAGTCCCTGCTCATTCGCTAACCTCTTTCCACATTCCCCAAGAAATCATGTGTTTTATCTCTACTAGTGTGTGGGAATTCTTTTCCTCCCTAAATCACTGAATTTATGCATACACCCAATGCAGGGACTGCAAACTCTCCCTTCCTCGAAATATACTGCTTTTAAAATCTCATCTGTAATGTCCTATGTTTCAGTTCTTGACATACTTTTCCCTCTATATAAATCATTGATACCTTAGAAGCTATAAGAATAAGCTTTACTTGAGTTGAAAGATGGGTGGATGTGGTTAAATCTTGTCAGTGAAGAAAGACTGCTTTGAACTTTGCAAAATAGGTGAAGTTTGGAGTGGGAATCCACCTGGCTATGGAAATGTGAAAAGGAGAAGTGAACCTGGCACGGACCTGCGGCAAACTTGGGTGTGCTCGTGGAAGACCTTGTATTGTTAAAATTGGGCCTTTAGCTGGGACATGAGAGAAAGGTAAGGTTTGCATAGACTTGCACTTAAATGTCTGGATGGGACAAAGGACTTGCCTGGTCCAGGAAGTTTTCATCTCCATGAGTAGCTAGCTTCTTCTTCCCTTCAGACACAGAGCTCTAGGAAAGTACTAAGGTGAAGACCCACAGAGGTATTCCAGGCTCTGACCCAGCATTTGCTTGAGGCACAGGATGATGGTTGAGCCAGGGGCTGCATATACGTGCAGGTAATGCAAGCCTGCAACCCCCCTTGTTCAAGTGCTCCTTTCCTGGCACGTAAGTGTCAACAGGTGTGAACAAGTGTATGGAGGTACCAAGTGCCAATGTTTCATTGCTGGCACGGAGAGTGGCCTTCATGCACAAGAGATGACAACTGCAGTGCTGTGCAGCCTGCCCATCAAAACGCATTGTTGCCTGGCACCTATATATCATTCAACTTGTGAGCAGGCACTGTGCCATCAGAACAGATGGTAGTGAGAGAAAGCAGCCAAACTACCACGTACAGGAGATGCATTAAAGTATAGGTGTGGAGAGTGATTTCCAGCCAAGAACGTCAAAACAGCTCTCTTCGTCTTGAATTTACATGCCCAGAGTTAAGGGGATGGGCAAGCATTTAACTGCTCTCCCAGCTGGATACGGTTCCATACACACACAAAAGCTTCTACTTCAGCTCACTTCAAGTGAGATTTTGGCCTAGCTGAAATTAGGCGGGGTATTGGAAATGACAGAGAGAGGCATTTTAAAGTGATCTCCACCTTTTCTGGCTCTTCTCAGGAAGTTCCCCTCTATGGAATAGGTGAAAAGACACTGTCACGGCCAATTGTTATTTATGGAAATTTGCAGGATGCTGTAGTCTTGGCTTTCTAGTGTAAATGACTTTACACAGAAGGTCTTAACACTTGGTAATGGCCCACTTAGGAAAAAAAACTAACCATGCAGTGTTTAAAGAGCACTGTGTTGTGGTTCTACCCTTTCCTATCTGTAGGGCTCACATTCAGCAAAGAAGCAGTTTCAGATAAAGATGATATGGAAGTGTGTGGTATCCCTGTCTGGCACATACACTGGGAATATCCCTCCATGGTAATAAAACAAAGGAGCATTAATGATATCCTAACACAGAATAAAAAACAACAAAGAGACAAAGAATGTTTAATATACCTCAGGAGCCATTCTACTGAAAACTGGACGCTTAAAACAGCACTGCAGCCCTCGATGTTTGTATCTTTATGCTTTCTAGAGCAAATTTACTTAGTTTATGAATAAAAATCACCAGGTTTGGGGTTTTGTCAGACCTCAGTTTTGCAATAATCTGCCTGGGAAATTTAAAGCCAGCCCTCATCTACCATCACCATAAAGAGCTCAGGCTGAGTTCTGGCCTCGTTTTCACTTGTGAGCTGCACTGTCTTTGGTTGATGACCTCCCTCGCACCCGTAGCCTCATTGTTTTCAAGACGAAATCTTCCTTCTTTTCTGTTGTTGGCCTGGATTCGGGAGCGGTGTGAAGGAGGGTGTGTTTCTCCGGCAAGCTGCAGGTGCAATGAGACTTTCATTTAAGCCTCTAGAGCTCTAATAAGCACAGATGAAGGGAAAGGGTTTTTTTTTTCTTTGAAAGGACCTTGTGTTCTGTGTCTGCTGTAAGATTGCTTCGTGTCTTTCAGAATCAGTCTTTAAAGCTGGCACTGGCTGGAATTTTAGTTGCTGAATGTGTTTGGAATTGGGGTTTGGTTTCAGCCCTGTGAATGAAGTGAATCTTGGGTTAAGAGGAAGAGTGGAATAGGGAAGTAATTTGTCTAAAGAAGAACAAGACACTACTGGAGATGAATTCCTGCATTTTAATTGATTACAGGGGGGTTAAAGGATTGACACCACCTATTTTTCTTTTGATAAGGTAGAAGTGAAGAGCCCTTATCTTCTCATGGGGAAAATCATTGGACTTTCTTATAGGAAGTTTCTTTCTGCACAGGGTTCTCAAGGGAAAGTATCGTTCCCAGTGTGACAGAAAACTTTGCTTACAGGCCAGGAGGAACTTCAATTCAAAGTACTGATACAACAATAGGTGTTTTTACAGTTCGTTTATTTCCTCAATATTTGATTTCCTGTTTTTCCATCCCAACTGATCTTCCCACAATACCATTTCAGAAAAGCACACCCATATGCTAGGTCCTTCTCTTACCCCCTGCAATCTTGCCAGTCTGTGTAAGTGCTAGTAAGACAGCAACAAAAGGTGGATAGGCTCAGAGTGTTGAGAAAGGATGCATGTGTTTAATGTGTGATTCCTTGAACAAGGAAGAGATTTCACTTGCCTATTCTGAAAAGAAACCCCGGTGCATTCAGGTGAATGAAGGCACAGGCATCTGTGCAGTCCTGCTGTTAATCAGCGTTGCTCCAGTTTAATGTGTTATAAGCATGATTGTAGGAGAAAATTCTCCATCATATTTGTGAGAGACTCCATGTGCCCTTAAAATACGTATTCTTTATGGGGAAGAGGCTAGTGAAGGTTGTGGCTTTAATACCTGTACCTGTATGGTTCCACTCCTAAGCTGCTTGGACTTGATGCTGTTATTGTTTCTCAGTGTCTGCCTACAGACTTTCTCTTTCACTCATGTAAATGTCAAATTCAGGTGCCTAGATACCACATCTGTGCTCAGAAGCAAAGTCAATTTGACATCATGTAGCTCCCCTTATGTCATTACCTCTCAGTCTTCCCATCTACGGAATTAGAAATACCAGGGTATTTTACAGAGAGGTGCATGATCAGGGCCTGGATTTCAGTGTAGAGACTTTTCTGCAGCACTGAGATTGCTGAATGTAATGCTGCTATGCTGGCCACAATATCATGTTTTGAGCCACTGCAGTTTTGTTGTGGGTCTATTGCTGGTGTAACTCAGGTATCGCTTCCAAATATCCTTGGTATGTACATGGAGCCCAGAGGCTGTACTCTTATGTACATATTATACGTACAAATGTATGAAG